GTTCAAAGGACAGAAACAGGCAATTTTCAAGGGAAGAAACATCAACTGTCAATAACTAACTGAAAAACTGTTGAAACTGTCTAAGAAAAATACAGATGATAACACTGAAGCACTAATATTCACTCAATTGGCAAACATAATTAAAAATGACAAAATCTAATTTTGCTGCCATTAAGCAGAAACAGATTCAGTACCATACTGCTAACAGGGCTGTGTATTGGTACAATAAATTTTTGGAAATTAATATGACAATAACTGACTTTATGTAGCACTTTAAAGTTGTTCAAGTATTTTACATATATTATCTCATTTGAGCATTGGGACAGGTCACGTGAGACAGGTAGTATAAGTCCTTAGTAAACATTTGTTTAAAGATTGATTTGATAAGTTAATGTGCAAAAATACATATTTTTTTTTTGTTTGTTTGTTTGTTTGTTTTTCTGCTTTTTAGTGAGGTAATCAGAGTTAAGTGACTTGCCCAGGGTCACACAGCTAGTAAGTGTCATGTGTCTGAGGTCGAATTTGAACTAAGGTCCTCTTGACTCCAAGGCCGGAGCTCCATCTACTGCACCACCTAGCTGCCCCCTTTTTAAAATACATATTTTGAACAAAATGTAATTAACTTGGAGGTTATGGTTTTCCATACAATCATCTAAAAACTGTATTTCATCATTTGAATGTTTTTGTTATCCTTACTAAAGTTTAGAATCTTAAAAAAAAAAGAACTCTTAAGTTTTGTTTTTGTTTTTTTGCTTTTTGGTGAGGCAATTGGGGTTAAATGACTTGCCCAGGGTCACACAGCTAATAAGTGTCAAGTGTCTGAGGCCAGATTTGAACTCAGGTCTTCCTGACTCCAAGGCTGGAGCACTATCCACTGTGCCATTCAGCTGCCCCTAAACTCCTTAAGTTTTATTGAGAATGTTGCCGCAGGAGGTGGGTGGGGAATGGGAGCTTAGATAGAGAACAGGAATAGGAACCCTTCCATAATGTCCAGTAGAGATCTGGTTTTGACAAATGGAGGTGGTGGAGGGGGGAGAAGAAAGAGAGATGGCAGATAGAGACTCGGTATGGTATACCACAAACATCTTTTAGTCCTCTGGTCTAGGCTGTTAAGAATTCCCAGAGGTAGATGAATATCTTACAATGAGCCACGAACAAACTGGCCCTCTCTTTGGGCTCCTCATTTTATGAGAATATGTCAGAAGTGGGATTTGAACCCAGATTGACTGACTTAAAATCTAACATTCTATTATACCACATCGCCTATTCTTAAGGAAGAAACAAAAGTGATAATGCCCTTTGACCAAGTGATCCCACCACCCAGGGCTATACTCTAAAAGGAGGTTATGAGAAGGAAAAAAAACCTGTCTATATAAAAACAATGATATAATTATATAATAATGACAAATATATATGTGTATGTAATTCGTACAGCTAGGTGGTTCAGTGCACAGAGTGCAGGACTTGGAATCAGGAAGACCTGAGTTAAAATCCTACCTCAGACACTTACTGTGTGACCCTGGGCAAGTCACTTAACCCGTTTGCCTCAGTTGCCTTATCTGTAAAATGGAGATAATAACAGCACCTACCTCTCAGGATTGTTGTGAGGATTAAATGAGATAATTTGTAAAGCACTTAGCATAGTCCCTGGCACAATGATCAGTCATTTTTCAGTTGTATCTGACTCTCTGTGACCCCATTTGGGGTTTTCCTGGCAAAGATACTGGAGTGGTTTGCCATTTCCTTCCCCAGCTCATTTTACAGATGAGGAAACTGAGGCAAATAGGGTGAAGTGACTTGCCCAGTGTCACACAGCTAGTAAGTGTCTGAGGTTGGATTTGAACTAATAAAGACAAGTCTTCCCGATTCCAAGCCCAGTGCTCTATCCACTGCACCACCTAGCTGCCTTCTGACACACAGTAAGCACTATATAAATACTAGCTATTAGTAGCAGTAAAAAATTAGGAATAATTCATATAACCAATGATCCAGGAATGTCTGGAGCATGTTATATAAATGTTATAGAATCTTATCATAAATCACAACTGACAGATACATACAAAGAAATACGGAAGACTTGCATTTTACTGAGTATTTAAATAGCATTTCAAGATTTGCAAAGCACTTTACAAATATTATCTCATTTGATCCTCACAACAACCCTTTGAGGTAGGTGCTATTATTATCTCCATTTTACAGATGAGGAAACTGAGGCAGAGACAGATGAATTAATTTGTCCAGGGTCACAAAGCTAGTAAGTGCCTGAGGCTGGGATCTGAATTCAGGTCTTCCTGACATGGAATCAAGTGCTCTATCCATGGCACCACGTACTAATGCAGGGTAAAATAAGCCAAATCAGAATTCCAATACCACAACCCTGTAAATATTACTCTTATTGTTATTAAGAATTATAGGAATAACATCTATTTTTTTTTCAGGAACACCATTTTAAAAGAAGAAAATATATAAGATGCAGACATGGGAACAAACAGGATGTTATGGTTGTGTTTGACTACTCTGTATATTTTTACATTTATTCACTTTATATCACGGATTTTTGAACTCATTTAAAAAATATTTTTGGTAACTGTATTTTAACATAATTAGCTTCTATCATAATCTTATGTATTTTATTTATTTTAAAATATTATTCTGAGAAGGGATCTATAGGCATCACTAGGCTGCCAAAGGGGGCCATGACAAAAATAAAAGTTAAGAACTCCCACTCTATATTTATGTTGTAGATCATTTACATACACACTTCTGATCTCCTCCATTAGAATGTAATGGAGGGATCATCTTATTCTTTGTACTAGTATTCTCAATGCCCAGCATAGTGCCTGGTACAGAGTAGGTGTGTAATAAGCGCTTGCTTGATGACTAATTTGTTAACACCAACGAGTGTAAAAATACACATTTTAAACAACATGTAAATAAATTGGAGATTATGGTTTTCCATATAATCATTTAAAAATTATGTTTTATTATTTGAATGTTTTGGTATTGCTTATTAAAGTTTAGAATCATAAAAATGCACCCTTAGACTTTATTGGGCAGTGTGCCAGAGGAGGTAGGTGAGAAAAGGTAATTTAGAGAATGAGAGTAGGCTTCTGGATGGGCATGAGGGAATTAGTATGCTGCCAAGGAAACCAGGCCTCAAGCTGGTGAATGTACTTTTCTTAGTACATTCTTAGTACTTTTATTAGTACATAGTACTTTTCTTAGTACCTACCAGTTCTATCACTGTCTGGCCCTGGAACAGGTAAGACAAAGGCATCTAAGACTAGGTAGGATTGGGTGGCGGTTCCATGGAATAGGTAGGAAAGAAGGGAAAGGATCAAGAGGAAATCAAAATTTCAGGGCAGGTAGTCAGCAGAGAAGAAGGATTTCTGTAGGCAGCTAGCTATTCTGAAATGCCTGCATATGAATGAGCTAAAATATTAAGAGACCTAAAGAGGTCATTCATCTTTAATGAACTGTATCCTCTGGAACTTGTGAAGTGTGAGATCTGGGCTCTTTGATTATAATAACTCACATCTCTGTAGTGCTCTACAGTTTGCCAAACACTTCATTATAATAATGCTCTAAGGTAGGCAGGTTGGTCGGTCTTTATCCTTCATTCTCAAAGAGGCCCAAAATGACATCATGATGTTGGAGTCAACGAACGGTGTGTCTGACTTGCTGACCAGACCAATGTGAGTTTGGAAGGCTCTACCACAGGTTGGGAACAAACAGTACACACAAACAGGCCTATAACTGAATTATAGAAAATGCCCAGTGTGGAAACTCCCTTCATCAATACAAATCAGCATCTGCTCATCAATTTTTATTCTAAAAGAGTTGTCTCAGGTAAGTAAGAGGCTCAGTGACCTGCCCAGGTGCACAGACAGTACATGTCAGGTCTTCTTTACTCTAAGTCTGGTTACTGTACCTTCCTGCTTCTTTAGCCCCGTTTTGCAGAAGAGAAAATTAAGACTCAGAAAAATTGTCCTGTCTTGTCTGAAGTTTAGATAAGACAAAGTCCTTGCCTTCAAGGTGATGACAAAAACTGCTGGCCAGAATCATGGGATTCAACTTATGGCTCAGTGGATATAGCACTGTTTCTGAAATAAGGAAGACCTGTCTTCAAATCTGGCCTCAGACACTTGCTTAGCTGTGTGACCCTGGGCAAGTCACTTAAGTTTTGTCTTCCTCAGTTTCCTCAGCTGTTAAATGTGGGTAACAACAGCACCTACCTCTCAGGGTTGTTGTAAGGATCAAATGAGATACTAGTAGAGTGCTTAGCACAGGGCATGGCATATAGTAGGTGCATAATAAATGCTCATTCCCTTCCCTTCCTTTATTCTTTTCCCTTGGTAACATTTCTCTGTGTGAAGACTACTGGTGGTTGATAACAGGCTGATGTTTTGATTGAACATATAACCTTCATTACGTTATCACTATGATCTGAACAAATCTGCCCACACAATGAACATGGAACATAGCCACAGTAAGGCACAGGATAATCTGTGAGGCATTTGAATAATAATTGGTGCCCTCTGACTCTCATTCTTCATTCTAGAGGTGGGAGAAACAAGGCTTATGTCAGCCCATTCAGGGAAGCATTATGAATCCCTTAAACTCCTCGCTATGGTGCTATCACATGTGTTTCTGAGGGAAATGATTAGAGAGTGATGATGCCTTTTCCTCCTCCATGACTGGAAGATATCTGTAACTGTCTATTTAAGGGAGAATCAGGGAGAATAAATGTTATCTAATGTTCTTACTTCACATATATATCTACATTCTTCATTTTGTCATTATTTATTTCCAGACGTTCTTATGGTGACTTCTTAATACATGACTAAAGAAATACCTGATTCAGAATGACACCCCAAACTCAAACAAATAAAAAATATTCCCCATGTAAGTAGTTCTCCCCATGCTAAATAACAAATAGAATTCACATTGAGTGTGATCCTGACAGAGTCTCTCTATTGGAAAACATTATGCAATCATACCTGCCACATCAAACTCTATTTCCAAAGTGACCTTGCTGGTGATGGAGGAATCTCGGAGAAGCTGACTGGCTTCCTCAAATGTGCTGTCTTCGGTGGGAATTCCATTGATCGCCATCACCCTGTCTCCAATTTGCAGTACTCCACACCTAAATTCACGACTGTATGTTAGAGGTCTGATACAGAAGAGAAAGGAGTGCACAGTGACCAAGTTAAGAGCCCCAAACCAATTGAATTAGAACTCTAATGAACCATGGTTGTAATTCAGTTCTTTTTGCCTACTGTAATCTGTATCATACAATATTAGGTCTGTAGCAGGTGCCTTGCACGAATACAGGCAGTGGCCAGAAAAAAAAAATGCAAGAAAGGAGATGAGAGTACTGAAGTGTCCCAAAGAAGTAATGAATAATTCAGCTTGGTAGTATCTGCTATGATTGGATCCGAACTAATACACAGCAGTGATGAATGTGCTTTCCCCAATGGCATAAAAATTATTAAAGTTTAAACTTCAGAGATTTTCTCCCTTTAATTAAAATAGCCTCCAGTCCCCTGATGGGAAAAACTACGAGATAAAGGCACCAATGCTTGTTATTCTTCTCAGACTCGATCAAGAACATCAAATTTTATTGTCAGAACAGAGAGTTCATTACAGTCTGCATTTCCTGCATGCGGCAGTGTTCCATAAGTTAATAGCCATCCGACAGCATCCAGCACCAAACTTCCTGAGCAAAGCAGAGAACACAGGTGCCCTCATCTCTAAGCGTCTCACCTTTCTGCTGGGCTGTCAGCTTCAATATAGGAGATCAGTGGTGGAGAAGATAAAGTCTCGGTGGCAAATACACTGCCCTGGAGCTGTATGCCAAATCCCACGACAGGATCGGCGGTCAGCACTACCTCTGTAGTTTCAGTGTGGACGACCTGCCCAGCCAAGCCAACAGTACTGGAGGCCAAAGACACTAGAAAGGAAAGCACATAAGAGGAAGGAACTCGTAAGTACAGACAGATCAAAGAAATCCAGGTGTGTTCGAGGATACGTTCCCCTCCCTCAATGCTTATTGATAACAGTTTAAATTCTGGGCTCACTAGCAAAAATTTCAGAAAGGGTCCTTTATGATTTATTAATTGCAAGACAGACAAATCTCTACTGCTTAATCATTTCATCTCCTTCCTGGTGGGCCTCCTAGTTTCTCTTTGTAGGGGCACAACCACAAAATGGAAAGAGCAGTAACAGCTGGGAGACATTCTAGTCATTGTTTAACCTTGACCAAACCTCTTCATCTCATCTGTAAAACGAGAGCTGAACTAGATTATTTCTAAGGTTTTTTTTTTTCATCTGTAAAATTCTATGCCCATGCTTACTGAGTTTCCGTAAACTAATAATTTTATTTTCACCATTAGAGAGGGAAAAAAAAAATAACCCACTGATCCAAAGCCCAGTGTCTGGGGACACAAATTTATCTTGGTCCATAGCATTACGGCTGTACAAACTCTTCTAATGCCCAAATTATACCCATTAAGTAAGTATTCTTCTCCTCCCATTATTTCAAATGTCTGTCGACCTACTTCCTCAGCTTCCTAGAATCAACATTTGTTGCCCTAGGTAAAAGACCTTTTCTTTTGCTATCTCCTCTTGTATTTTCATTCTTAGCTAGTTCAGCCTTACTCCAGTCCAGGCTCACTCCATCCCCGATACCTTTTTTATTATCTTCCCCCAACCCCAAACTCTGCTGTCTGTGATGGACAGACTCCAGCTCTTCCTTAAGCAATTGTTCTTTGGCTGTGCTAGCTCCATTGAAAGTGATTTCTTCTTCTCTTCTTCCATTTCTTCTAATTTATGGGTAAAGCTATTTAGCAATGTCTTGGGTACTCACTACAATTTTTAGACTACTGTTAGTCAACATCAGTCAGCAAACGTCTTTGTTTGACCTCTGCTTATACCATCCTCTTCCCTTCCTGTTATTTACAGACCTCTAGAATACTCTCCCTTCTTAATGACTTCAGTACCTGGCTCACAGATTTATTCTCCACCCTTATCCCTTCTATGTTTCCGGTGAATTTTACCTTCATGGCCATGACCCTCTCTTTATAGCTGCTGAATGCACTCATGTCCATTGACCTTCACCCTCACTCCAACTCAGTTTATCAATCATAATTCAGTAGGACTTCAGACCAGCTCCATTTTCAAAATCTCAAACTCTGAAATTTTCATTTCTGACCACAAACTACTTTATATTCCAAGTCTCTCCTTCTCTCTTTCCTACTGAAACTCGTTGTCTACCATTTTGACCTCTAGCTTCTCAAAGCCATCCTCTGACTTTTACTGGCCTTCTTCTCCAATCTGGATCTAAGAACAACAACAATTAACAATAACAGTAAAAAGAATAGTTGTTAGCATTTATGTAGCAATTTAAAGTTTGAAAAGTGCTTTACATATCATCTCATTTGATTCTCACAACCATCCTGTGAAGTAGATGCTATTATTATTACCCCATTTACAGACAAGAAAATTGAGGAAGAAAGAAATTGTGTGACTTCCCCACAGTTACATAAGTATCTGAGGCTGGATTGAAACTCAGATCTTTTTTAAACTCTATGTCCAGCACTATCCACTACTTCATATAACTGCCATGATCCCATGGTTAACAATTTTAATTATATAATTGAATGGAGTAGAATAGAATACCCTAGAACACCTTTTCCCTTAGTCATTTGTTATATAGGCATAATTCTTTTTATTGTGCCTTGCAGATATTGCTTGATTTTTATTTTTTTGCAATTTGAAGGTTTGTGGCCACCCTATATCAAGCAAGTCTATCAGCGCCATTTTTCCAACAGCATGTGCTCACATCACGTCTGTCACATTTGGGTAATCCTTGCAATATTTCAAACTTTTTCATTATTGTTATATCTGTTATGGTGATCTGTGATCAGTGATCTTTGATGCTACTATTCTAATTGTTTTGGGGCACCATGAACTGTGCCCACATAAGACAATGAACTTATCTGGTAAATGTTGTGTGTGTGTTCTAACTGCTCCACCAATTGGCTGTTCCCCATCTCTCTCCCCTTCCTTGGACCTCCCTATTCCCTGAGATACAACAAAATTGAAATTAGGCTAATTAATAACCCTACAATGACCTCTATGTGTACAAGTGAAAGGCAGAGTCAACCGATGCCATAAACTTCATCATCGTCTTATTTTAAGAAATTGCCCCAGCCACCCCAACCTTCAACAACAACTACCCTAATCTCTGACCATCAATATCAAGGCAAGACCCTCCACCAGCAAAAAGATTACAACTCACTGAAGGCTCAGATGATGGTTAGAATTTTTTAGCAATAAAGTATTTTTTAATTAAGGTATATACTTTTTTTAGACATAATACTATTGCACACTTAATAAAGTACAGTCCAGTCTAAATATAACTCATATGTAATGAGAAAACAAAAAATTCGCATGACTTATTTTGTTGCGATACCTTATTGCAATAGTTTGAGACCTGTAATATCTTCAAGGGATGCCTGTATCCTTGCCAATGCCCAATCCTGATTCAATCCTGCTTTCTTTGCTTCTGAGCTATTAAAACTTAGGGTATGGGGTGGGGAGGAAAGGAAACTCTGCTAAATGGGCCCCTTAAAAATTAATTATATCTAACTTCAGCAGGGCCTTTGTTCCTTTTTTTTTTTTTTCAATCCTTTCATTTGCCTCCTATTGATTCCCTACCACATTCTTCTGGTCACTTTCATAGAAACTTTTCACTTTCCTCACACCCTAAATCTGCATCTCCAGCCCCAACTTCTTCTCCCGTTAAGTTTTACTGACATTTCAAACTTTACAGATCTAAACTTGAATTACCCTTCTTGCTATCTAATCCTGCCTCAGACTCCTTCTAGTTGTGTGACTCATGACAAGTCACTTAACCTTTGTGAGACTCAGTTTTCTAATCTATAAAATCGGGATGATAATAATAGCCCCTACTTCACAGAATCGTTGTGAGAACAAATGAGAAAATAAACATAAAGCACTTCACAAAACCTTCAAGCACGACATGAATGCTATTGTTGTTATCATTTTTGTTATTATTTCATTCAAAGATACTCGCATTTATCTAGAATCAAAAGCGGGGGTCATTCTTGGTTCCTCCCTTTCTCTGGATCTGCTCCTATTTGGCGAGCTACCAAATTCAGGCAATTCTACCCTCACAACATCCATCTTCACTCATCTCTGTTTTCCAAACCTCCATCACCACCTTAGTTCAGCCCTCACTGATTCTCCCCTGAACTATGGTGGTCACCTCCTAACTGGCTGCCAATGTCTCCAGTACCTCTCTCCAGTCTGAAAATGGGTATGTGAGCTTTTCCAATATTCTTCAGAAAGTGTTACTAAATTAAGTTCACGGCACTGAAAAATCACATGTTGTAAAATTGTTCAAGGACTTTTCAGCTCTAGGATGCTACAATCATCTCCGAGGATGTCTTGGGATTTACTGAAATTTGCAAAAGGAGCTTTCTGAAAACTGGTGCAAACCGATGAAACTCATACATACTGAATTCCCGAAACCTACTGCCTGTTGCGAGTCACTGTCAAATACAGGAAGAATTAGAAAGAGACCAGGAATGAAAAGATGAATTGAAGATTTCCATATAATGAAGCAAAAGAAGGAATGAACTTGTGCGAAGTAGAAAATGACAGGAGTATGGTTACTGAATTTCATCAATAATGACCAGGTAGTTAAGTTGTGGAGGGGAAAAAAGATGACATGTAAATTACAAACCTATACAAACCAAGAATCTGGATGATCAATTAAACTCCTCCTTCAGTCACCATTGAAAGCAATTGAGTTCTGGCCTCAGTTAGAAACACTTTTGTTTATTCACTAATTAGAATGGAATATATTCTGGAAACTCTCTGCTCAATTGTTTGTATCCCAAATACATTTCCATATATTCCTCACTTATTTCTACTGGATCTAACCATAAATAAATATCCATATCTAGGCAGTGTGGTATAAAAGAAAAAATAACAACAATAATAATAACATGCATTTTAAAGTTTGTAAATTATGCTGTAATTTAGGTATTGTCTCATTTGAACCTCACAACAACTTGGTGAGATAAGATTCCAAGATTTATTAATTCTCATTTTACAGATGGTGAAACTGACGTAAAGAGAGGTTAAGCGACCTGCTAAAAATTCCCCTATTAGACTGAGGGCTCCTTGACAGAAAAGACTGTCTTTTACCTTTCTTTGTACACTCAGAACTTACACGGTGCCTGGCATATAGTGGCACATAATAAACGTTTCACTGACCAAAAAACCTAGGAGGTATCAGAAGTGGGATTCAAAACTAGTTCTTTCTGACTTCAAATCCAGCACATTGTATTTACTACAATGTACTGCAGGGCTAGATGTGGAGTCTGGAGGGACATGGATTTGAAACTTGTCTCTGATATTAGCTACAGGGCCATGGGCAGATCACTTAATGTGTCTCACCCTCAGTTTCCTGATCTGTAAAATGGAGATAAGAATAATTATATTGCCTAGCTTTCTGGGTTGTTGTTGGGATCAAATGGGTTAAAATAGTACTTTGTAGACCATAAAGCGTTATGTAAATATCTCCTATCATTATTATGTGTGTGCATAATAATTGTGTTCCTTGAATTTAATCCTTCATCTCCCATCTCCCCCCACACACTTGCTTATTACATCCCCCTAAGGCCTGGAATATGTTTCCTTCACAACTCTTATTTCTTATCTTTCCTCAAGATTCTGCTCAGGCACCATTTCTTTGGAGACTTCTCTGGTCATCCCAGTTATCCAACTTCTCAAATTACCTTGTATTTAATTATTTGTTTCCATGTTGTATTCCCTATCCTTCACCTCCATCCCAGAAGAACATATGAATTTTTTGAGGGTAGAGGGTGTTCTGTTTTTATCTTTATCTTTTTTATCTTC